GCAACCTATTGCCAAGGATGGTGACCATACCTGAAAATGAGTCAGCTTCGTTGGTAGTGGAACTGAACATTGATCATATTGGGGGCTTACACGATTTCACCAAACCGAGGGGAAGAGGTGCTCGCATCCGTCAGCCGTCTGATAGAAAGCTCAGGTCAGCAACATCTACCCATAACTCTGACCAGGATTTACATCATGATTAACACACTTTTATGGAATATTAGAGGGGTGGCTTGAGCCCTAAATTTGCGTAGATTTCGTAAATTAGTACGATTACATGATGTTAAGTTTATAGTTATATCAGAACCTAAGCAACCCATTTGTAATGTTGATCACATTCGCATGCGATTGTCGTTTGATTCAGTAGTTGTTAACCCTTCGGAAAATCTCCGGGTTTTCTTTAGTAACCCATTTATTAGCTCGGTTGTTAATAGTTCGGCTCAACATATTACGCTGTCGATTTATCATCCGTGGTTGTCGGGTCTTCTGTTCTTCTCATTTGTTCATGCAAAATGTACAGTGGAGGAGCGTCGTGAGTTATGGTACCACTTGTTGAGGGATAAACCAAATGCTTGTCCTTGGTGCATTGGGGGTAGGGGTGAGCATCGAATTCAAAGACGGTAATTTGGTAGGTTGAAATCGGTAATTTTCGGTAAATGGTGTTGGAAATATTCGACCTAATTCGCATTCGAAATAGGAAATATCGAATTCGAATTCAATCCGAATTGAATTCGGTAAACGAAAATTGACCGAATTAACCGAATTCCTGAAAACTGCTTCTTTGGACCATTTTTCATCAGCAAACAACAACGCTATTAAACAGAGCCACAAATTACAAACTGATCGAATGTAACTGATCACAAATGACAAATCACTCCAGAAATCATAAATCCACAAATCACACTGAGTCACTGATCATTGAAATCCAAAAATCATAAACAAATCCACAAACGAATTACACTGATCCACAAACAAATCACAAATCACAAACAAATCCAGAAATCACAAATCCAGAAATCAGAAATTACACTGATCCACAATCATAAATCAATCCAGAAATCATAACTCAATAGAAATAAAAGTCTAAATTAACTTGTCTAGAAATTACAATCCACATTCCACAATCCAGAAAGCCACAAAGGCCAATTATCTAGAAACAATCCACAATCCACAATCCAGAAATTGCAATCCACAAACGAAAATCCAGAAAGCCACAAGAAGAGTTGCAATCCAGAAAGCCAATTACGTTGAAACTGCAACTTGTAAGAAGCTCAAAATGCAAACTTCAGCATGTGTGACCTCTCAAAGGTCAATTATAGTTGATTCAATTCCGGTCTTCAGTAACTTTGTAAGAACAAACAAAATTCATGAAATATCATAAAGGCAATTATTAGAAATAAAGAAATACTTCAAATTCTGCAATAAAAATTTTGATAGCTTACCAGATTCGAAGGCTTCAAGTTCTTCCAGATTTTCTTCTACATTTAATTCTGTCTTGGAGGACCGAAGCCAATTTTGAGCACATATTAAACCTTGCACAATTCTAGGAGTCAAAGAACTCCTAAATATATCAAGAACACGACCTCCGGTACTAAAAGCAGATTCGGAGGCCACGGTAGAAATTGGGACTGCTAACACATCACGAGCAACTTTGGAAAGGATTGGGAATCTAAGGCTATTGGCCTTCCACCATAACAAGATATCAAATCTCTCATCATCTTCCTCACAATCCTCATTCAAATATTTCTCTTATTCAGATTTTGCATCCCTACCCCCAAGTTCCATTTTTCTCTTTTAAAACTCCAACTGGTACCTATCAGTGATTGTTTTAAAGGCATCCCCATGTCCATGAAATGTAGTTTTACTCCTTTGAGATTCACTTGAAAGTGAAGAAGCATGAGACGCAGAATTTGAGACAGGTGTGTTGAGCATCTTGTATTCATTAAACAGCTCAAACATTGGATCTTTTGCAATGCCAACTATTGTTGTACCATCGGACTCACCATACATTTGGCAAACCACAAATTCAAGGTATTCAAGTTTAGTTCGAGGATCAAGCATGGAGGAAATAAAAATCAGCATATTCATCTTTTCAATCTTTCCCCAATACTTATCATATTTCTCCTTCATTGATCTTGCCATTGAACTCAATTCTTCATTATCACTTGCTGTCATTTCAATTAAAATGCCATGAATGTGACTAATATCAGTGAAAAAATTATTTGAAGTCACGTATTTGGAACCGGAAACCTTCATAGTTAGCTGATAAAAGTTTTCCAAAAAAATTACCAAGAATATAGCTTTTGTCCAATTAGATTTTGTTGGCAGATTTTCTAACTCTTGAAGCATATTAGGATCCTGCTCCTTGAACCTCTCAAAAGCCTGCTCAAACCTTTGAGCTGTGTCTAGCATTAGATATGTAGAATTTCACCTAGTAGAGACATCTAAACAGAGCAATCTTTTGCATTCAATTTTTTCAATTTCAACACACTCCTTAAATTTTTTCAATCTAAAAGGTGACTGTCTAACATATCTAACTGCTGGCCTGATACAATCAACTGAATCCCAAAGTTTTTTGATGCCATCATTAACAATTAGATTCACTATGTGAGCTACACATCTCACATGAGTCCATTTCCCCCCTAACACAGTTTTCCCCAATTTTGAAGTTTTCCTCGTAAATAGCTGACAACTACATTATTGGAACTTGCATTGTCAACTGTAACAGTTAGGATATCATCAACTCCCTATTCTAGTTGACACTTTTCTATGGCCTTACCAACTTCAGTTCCCTTGTGACTAGCAATAGGACAGAAATTTAGGATCTTTTTGTTCAGTTTCCAATCATTATCTATGAAATGGGCAGTGAGGCACATATAGTTTATCCTTTGAATGGATGTCCAAGAATCTGTGGTTAGACAAATTCTGCCACTGTTATTTTTCAAGAGATGTTTCAACTTAATTTTTCATCTAAATATAGCTGATAGCAATCTCTAGAAATAGTCCATATCGAAGGAATTCTAAATGATGGACAAGCAGTCTGCATCATATATTGAAAACCTCTACCATCTACATGTTTAAATGGCAACTCATCAACAATTACCATATAAGCTATGCTTTTTCTAATGGCTTCCGCATCAAATTTCTAACTTATGAGTGCCCCTTTAACCTCTCCCTCTAAGGTTTCAGTTTCACCCAAACACAAAGTAGCCTGGCCAGTGTGCTTATTTTTAGGATTTAGAGGACATTTAGCTACATGAGTATTAATGGGAGTCGTACCATGACTTTTGGGATCCGCAGCTATGTCCTTCTCATAGTACTTGCAAATTGCACGACGAACTCCATTCACATGCTTTACATGAAAATGATCCCAAACTTTGGATCTCTTCTTGTACTCTCCTCTTTTCTTGACAAAACCAGATTCTTCACAGCTTTGTGTAGTAGGACTAGGAAGAAGAGATGATCCTTCTTGTTCCAGCTCATTGCGACTTGGATTACTCTCACCATCAGTAGTAGACATAGCTTAAGTTTTTTGAAAATCTAAGCAAATAAATTATACAATTTAGTGCAACAATCAATTAGCAATAAAATTGAAATAAAAGACTAGAAAGCAAAGGCAAAACTTGTAAGAGATCCAGGAATCAAGAACCAACTCAGGACAATCAAAAAACATATCAACCAGAACAAAGGAACCACAAGTCCAGTATGAAATTGAAGTCCAAGGTCCATTTCCCCTCAAAATTGAAAAGAGACTTTTACATAAAAAGTGACATAGTTTCTTCCTGTTTTGACGTCTTAGGACATCTTTGCACTTTAAAATTCGCTACTATCCATTGCTTGTGATTGTTGTCCACTATATAAATCTCCAGCATGCAATAACAACCTTCAATTAATATAAGATCTAAAATTTGACCCAGCTAGTGCTATATTTTTTAATTTGAACTAAATACAGAGGACACCAAAATCTGCATTCATTCAATCAACTAAAGACTTCAAGACTTGTTCGACAGGATTTGAAAAAAAAGGCCTATTGAGTTGCTCTGCTTAATAGAAATTTGATTAAATGCGATCATATTAGAAGGCTTAATCAAATTATTGGACATCAAAAAGTGCAGCAACATATAACAGATAGACAAGAATAGGGATATCAAGCAAGATTGCAGCCAGTAAGTTACATAAACAAATCTGAAAAGAAAACCAATTGAAGAAGCCCTACTGCTATACTTCTTATTAAGACTCTAATTAGCAATTTCATGTTGAATACGAAGTAGCAAATTTAATTTTAGAAGCCTCAGCTTCACACCAATCAAACATTTCTCAACCAAACCCAAAATTACACATGTTTCAAATCAAATAAATTTTGAAATTAGGGCAACTTATTAATCTACAAAGTAAAGCACTAAACTTACCTTTAGCACTAGTGAACGTGGTCCTGGTGATGGTGGAGGCTCGGTCAGAATGAGAAACGGAGAAAGTTAGGGGTGAGCTTTGAGCTTTCTGTAGTTGAGGAAGGGAGAGGACTGAGGAGAATGAGGAGAGGAGAAACTCAGAAACAGCTTAGGGCCTTAGGCTTAGACTACAGTGGGCGGCGCCGCGGCAGTGCAAAGGAACGAGAGGAAGAGGAGACGAAGAGGAGAACGAATGCTAGTTTAGGGCACTGAAAGTCTGAAATTGGAACATCCGGACATAATGATATTATTTCCTATTTAACTTAATTCGGAATTTTGAAATTGAAAATGGTAATAATTTACTGTTTTACCGAAATAAATTCGAATTCGGTAAATCCGAAATAAAAAACTATAAAACCATTTTCGACCCTAATTCGATTCTAACTAATTCGATATCCCCGATTTACCGACCGAATTACCTAATTACCGAATTCGAATTACCAAATTGAAATCGATTTCGATCGGTAATTCGGTAATTACCGTAATTGCTCACCCCTAGATTTTAATGTGGTAACAACTCCCCATGAAAAATGTAGAGGAGGGTCTTATTCCATGGCAGAAAGTGAGGAATTTCTGGCGTTTATAGAGGAGGCAGGGGTTTTTGATGCGGGATTTTTTGGATCGAGTTTCACTTGGAGTAATAACAGGAGGGGACGAGCTCGAATTTGGAAGAGGCTGGATAGACTGTTAATCAATGAGAAGTGCCTAAATGTTGCTTCGGCAATATCTGTTGTACACCTAGCACGACACCCTTCGGATCACTCTCCGCTAAGAATCTCCTTTGCGTCACGACTAGACAATAAACCACGGCTTTTTCGCTTCTTGAATGTATGGGCAGCAAGGCCAGACCTATTGGAGGTAATTCGACGTGCGGGGAATGAGGACATGCAGGGTTTCCCATTGCGGATCTTGTGTTCTAAATTGCTGGCGACACGGCGAGGCATCAGATTGGAATAAGCAGTCATTTGGGAATGTATTTGATGCGGTCCGGGAGGCAGAGGCGGGAGTATTGAGAGCAGAGGCGGTTGTGGAGAATGAAACATCGGAGAAGGCGCAGATTGAGCTACAAAGAGCTCAAGCTGAACTTACGAGATCGCTAGCAATCGAAGAGCAATTTTGGCGGCAGAAGGCAAGAGTGAAATGGCTTCGTAGTGGGGACCGGAACACCAAATACTTTCATGCGGTGGTTAAACAGAGGAGAGTGCACGAAATGATACACAGAATTAGGAAGCAGATGGGCAATGGGTGGAGGATGACGATGCAATAACAAATGAGGCGATCGCTCACCTTTCGGATCTTTTTTCTAGAGACACGACCTACACCTCGAGTGGACAACTACATTTAATTCCATCATTGATCACGGGGGAAGACAATTCGATGTTAGAGGAGGTGCCGACACTGGAGGAAGTCAAACGAGTTGCTTTTCCAATAGATGGGGATAATGCTGCAGGCCGAGATAGGTATACGAGCAGGTTCTTTATATTTACGTGGGACATCATTGCTAGTGATGTCCATAGGGTAGTGGTGAGTTTCTTTTGTGGAGCAGAACTACCTCGGTTTGTAACGTCTACCTCTATAGTGCTTCTTCCAAAAGTTCCGAATCCCCAAGATTTCTCCAAGTTTCGACCGATCAGCCTTTGTAATTTCTTTAATAAACTGATTTCCAGGATATTGGTGGACCGTGTAGCTCCAATTTTACCAAAACTCATCTCCCCTTAACAGACGGGGTTTGTCAAAAGGTGAGCCATCACGAAAAATTATTTTTTAACCCAGGAGCTGGTGACGGACATGGGTTAGAAGTCGGGGAGGGGTAATGTGGCTTTAAAGCTAGACATGATAAAGGCATACGATCGCATGTCTTGGATGCATATTATTGCTATTCTGCAGAGATTTGGCTTTGGGGAAAGATTTATAGCCATGGTATGGCGCCTAATTTCGAATGTCTGGTTCTAGATTCTAATTAACGGGGCGTCTCATGGATTTTTTAGATCTAGCAAGGGTGTACGGCAAGGGGATCCCCTATCCCCCGTGCTTTTTATTATTGGATCGGAGGTGTTATCACGCGGTTTAAATAATTTAACTCAGCAAGTGAGTTTTTTGGGATTTAGGGTCCCAAGGGGTTGTCCTACTGTTACGTACCTCGCTTTCGCAGACGACGTGCTAATTTGTTTGAATGGATCTACCGCTGCATTAAAAAATGTTATGCAAGTTTTGGGGGAGTATCAGCAGTCATCGGGCCAACTGGTAAATGTCCAAAAAAATGGGTATCTAGTGCACCCGTCCATATTCTCGGCTCGCAGAAGGGTGATTGAGCGAGTTACATGATTTTCAAGGCAGGTTTTTCCATTTCGATATCTTGGTTTCCCTCTATACATCGGCAGGAGTAAACCGTCATACCTTGAGGAGGTTGGTCAGGCTATGCTGCGTCGAATCATCTCTTGAAAATCTAAATTTCTTTCTTGGGGGGGGGGAACTTACCTTGGTCAGGCATGTTTTGATGTCCATTCCAGTACATTTGCTAGCAGCGACTGTGATACCAACCTCGGTGTTCAAAATGGTGAGGTATGTGCAAATTTTCTTTAGGGTGAATCGGAGGCAGAGTTGAAATACCATTGGATTGGATGGTCTCAGTTGTATTACCCGCTTGGGGAGGGAGGAGTGGGGATTAGAAGTTTAAGTGATGTGCATGCAGCATTCTCTTGCAAACTGTGGTGGCAGTTTAGGACGGGCTCATCGCTTTGGACAAGTTTTCTAGAAGCTAAATACTGCAGAGATCTTCACCCATGTCAGGTTGAGCTGAGTCGGCAGGCCTCGGGGACATGGCGGAGGATGTTCAGTGTCAGTCGGCAAGTGGAGTTGTCTATGGTCTGGCTGATCCAGGAGGGAACTTGTCATTTTTGGTATGATAACTGGCTGGGAACTGGCGCATTGTTTCTTAAAACCACAGTGCATCCAACCCTCTCTTTCAAAGATTTCATTACAAATGGGAGGTGGGATGCAAGTTTGCTCTCTCGGGTCATTACTCTTGACCTTCTCCCTTCGGTTTTACATCATCCGGTTCCCCAGCATGGGCGGGCGGATAAGGTCGTTTGGAGCTTGTCTTCATCTGGGAAATTCTCTCTATCATCGGCGTTCGAGGAAATACAGCAAGGCCGAAACTCCTCGTTTGTTCTTTCTCACATCTGGCATTGTCGCATTCCGACATAGGTGTCCTTTTTCATGTTGTGCTTGTTGCTCGGGCGACTGCCAACCCCAGACATCTTCGATAAGATAGGATTTCATATGCCTTCCAAATGTTTCTGCTGTCATAATGGAGCAAATGAGACATTGGAGCATCTCTTCTCGGAGGGACAGCTCGCGATGGAGGTATGGACCTATTTTACTGGTTTAAGTGGGCTCCAGACTGTCGTGTCAACTTTGCGGGCTCGGGTAGTGGCTTGGTGGATGGTGGGTCCGAGAGCTGAGAAAAGGCGCATACTCTTCAGGATTTTGCCTTTTTATATTTGTTGGCACATATGGAAGGCAATGAACCAAGCAGTATTTCAGGGGACTCGGATGTGCGCGGTCACTATCCGACAAGTCATTATGTCAGACGTTGCGGCAAAACTGAAAATTCATTTTAATCATAGGTTGGGAAGGGTTACATTTCCCCAACTGTAAGACTGGTTGGGTCAACAAACGAGTGGCGTCAGCTATCAAATTGTACAGTGGCAGACAAAGAAACAGGGAGGTTTAACGCTGAATACGGACGAGTGTTCCAAAGGCAATCCAGGTTGGAGTGGTGGGGGAGGGATATTGCGGGATTCTTCGGGCAGCCCGATATTCGCTTACTCGGCATTCTTTGGGAGAAGATCCAGTTTGCATGCGGGAGCTCTGGCAATGCTAACAGGGCTGCAGCTATGTGTAGAGAAGGGTTTCAGCAGTGTTGACATCCAATCGAATTCTCAGGTATTGGTGGGGATTGTATAACGCCGCTTTCGATGCCCGTGGCAGATTCGTTGAGAAATAGAGCAAATCTGGCAAATTGTGAGAGATGTAACGCGGGTTTCTCATTGTTTCCGAGAGGCTAATTGTGTGGCAGACATTCTGGATAACGAGGGTGTTTATCATCAACAACGTGTCTGTACTGTCTATGAGTATATCCACAATTATCCAAAACTAGCTAGGGGATCCCGCCTGGATAGGCTAGGCATATCAGCTGTTAGGAGGACATCAAGGGGGGAGATTAACCGCTGATATACAAGGATCATCCTTCAGATTGACTAGAAGAGCTGAAGTTGAAAAGGGAAGATATAATCTTAGTTTCAGATCTTAAATACTTAAAATTTTCACTATGATTTAAATTTGTTGTTGAATTGTGGGTTGCTGCCAAGGAGTTTCGTCCCTTTAAAAAAAAACATAGTGTACACTTGTATTGTATTTATGACTTTCAAGATAAAAAAAAAATTTGAATTGAGAACCCTAAAAAATATTTGATAAAAAAAAAGTATGTTGGTCAAAGCCTAAGTTAGACGTGTTATTGGTTCAAGTCATCAAGGGATATGCAGAAACCCTACTTATGCCTACAAAAAAGAAAAAGTATAATAGTATGTTGACCAAAACCCAAGTTAAACAAGTCATCAATTATTTTGTAAAGTAGATGATATCGTTTCCTATTAAACAAATTACTTGGACAAGTTGGACAGAGGATATTAAGCCTTGAGATTACAACTTTATAATGGTATCTTTTTCCTTTAATTTATTTTTTATTCTTTTATTTCCTGTATCACTGCCCTATATATATGGTATCTTGACTTTGCTAAAATTGATATTCCAAGCTTGGCAATCTAGCTAGTAGCATAGTAGCTATCATGGGTACACTTTCAGAAGCATATAAAGATGTTCCTATGCGTCTCAAACATGTTATTCCTCTGGATTTTGAGTTCACAAAAGTGGTTCCAGAATCACATATATGGCCAGAAACAGAAAATTTTCCATTATCTGATCGTGTTCTCCCCTCTGATGATGATGAAAAATCAAAATCATGGATCCCTGTCATTGATCTCATGACTCCCAATGTAGTGGAACTCATTGGCCATGAATGTGAAACATGGGGAATTTTTCAACTCACCAACCATGGTATTCCCTCCAGCCTTATTCATGATGTTGAGTCCCAGGCTAGAAGACTCTTTTCTCTTCCAACTGAGCAAAAGCTGAAGGCCTTACGATCGGCTGACGGAGCCACCGGCTACGGTGCTGCCCGGATGGTACCGTTTTTCTTTAACTTTGGAAGTATTGTATATAAAGAACTTTATATAAAGTAGGAATGCTCCTTGAATTGTTGGTGATCTTTCGTCCTCCTACTCGTGTGCAAATCACGTGGCCATCCAAATCCCGTTGTTTAAAGAATATATAAACTGGAAAAAGGGTGCCAAAACATGGTCGTCCTCCGTGTGCATTGTACGTGGTTTTGTGTGTTTTGAGGAATATTCTTTTGTATGTTGGAATCCAAAACAGATTAATAGAAATGCTCTTCTTTTGTTGTCTTGGAACGAAAAGGACTTAGCATGCCTATATAAAAAGCATAAAAAAAACAAGCATGCATCTGATGTGACTCTCTGCCCAATGTGCCAGTTACACTTCCATATGTTTCGCCTCCCTCCTCTTAGAAATTTTCTCAATGTCTCTCGCTTCTATCCGTTTGCCCACCAGAATAGAACAGAAAAAAGCAGATGACTCCTTTGTCTCACCCATTCCTCCTCATTTCTTTGTTGATGGCCGATTCCTCTCAAACTCTCTTCAGTTAATAGGAAAGGGGAAACAAGGATGAAGGGGGAAGATGTTTGATTCTTCTCAGCCATCTGAATCACTTTTTTTTCAAATGTAATCATGGTAAACTTTCACCCATTTTGCCTATGCTCAATGTGCTTTTTTCTTGGTAACATTTTCCTTCTTTATTTTGATTTAGTCTCTGCAAACATAGGAGCAAGAACCTTCGTCCCTCTGCTAAGATGTGGAATAATCTGATATAGGTACCCATCATATCTAAAATTTTTTACCTTCATAAACAATTTCGTTGATAGATATCATTTTTTCAGGGTTTGTTGGAATATTTTTTCTTTCAAAAATATGTGTCCAGTTATTGTTTATTTAAAGTTTGCAATTTAGGTTAGAGAATTTATTAAAAGGTAAGGTTTGTATGCCCTCATTTCTTATTTTATTGCATATTTTTTATCTATCTTTTTCTTTCTTCTGCTTTCTCCTTGGCTTAGAGCATTTCAAACCATT